CGGGGCTGGGGGCGGGGCCGGGTTTGGGGGCGTTTTGCGTCCCGGCAGCACCTGAGAGGCCCAAATTTGGGCGGTTTTGGGGAAATTTGGGTAAAAACGAGGGCGGGGCGCCATCTTGGGGGTGGTGACGTCATCAACACCCAAATTTGGGCGGTTTTGGGGAAATTTGGAGTAAAAACGAGGGCGGGGCGCCATCTTGGGGGTGAGGACATCATCAACACCCAAATTTGGGCGGTTTTGGGGAAATTTGGAGTAAAAACGAGGGCGGGGCGCCATCTTGGGGGTGAGGACATCATCAACACCCAAATTTGGGCGGTTTTGGGGAAATTTGGAGTAAAAACGAGGGCGGGGCGCCATCTTGGGGGTGAGGACATCATCAACACCCAAATTTGGGCGGTTTTGGGAAAATTTGGGTAAAAACGAGGGTAGAGCGCCATCTTGGGGTGATGACGTCATCAACACCCAAATTTGGGCGGTTTTGGGGAAATTTGGAGTAAAAACGAGGGCGGGGCGTCGTCTTGGGGCTGATGACGTCATCAGATCCCAAATTCGGGCGATTTTGGGAAAATTTGGGTAAAAACGAGGGTAGAGCGCCGTCTTGGGGCTGATGACGTCATCAGATCCCAAATTCGGGCGATTTTGGGAAAATTTTGGGTAAAAACGAGGGCGGGGCGTCGTCTTGGGGGTGATGACGTCATCAGATCCCAAATTCGGGCGATTTTGGGAAAATTTGGGTAAAAACGAGGGTAGAGCGCCATCTTGGGGGTGATGACATCATCAACACCCAAATTTGGGTGATTTTGGGGGGATTTGGGTAAAAACGAGGGCGGGGCATTACCTTGGGGATGATGACATCATCAACACCCAATTTTGGGTGGTTTTGGGGAAATTCGGGTAAAAACGAGGGTAGAGCGTCGTCTTGGGGGTGATGACGTCATCAACACCCAAATTCGGGCGATTTTGGGAAAATTTGGGGTAAAAACGAGGGCGGGGCATTACTTTGGGGCTGATGACGTCATCAAACCCCAAATTCAGCCGATTTTGGGCCAAAACCCATCCAATTAAAAGCGGCTAACACCATCAACCTCCAGCTTCGATTCTGAGCAAATTCAAGCCAATTTTGAGCGAATTTGAGCCAATTTTGGTCCACATTCAGCCAATTTTGGGCCAAAACCCATCCAACTCAAAGCACACACCATTATCAACCTCCAGCTTTGATTCTGATCAAATTCAAGCCAATTTTGAGCAAATTTGAGTCAATTTTGGGCCAATTTGAGCCGATTTTGGGCCAAAACCCATCCAATTAAAACCAGTTAACACCATCAACCTCCAGCTTCGATTCTGAGCGAATTTAACCCAATTTTGAGCGAATTTCAGCCAATTTCACCCCAAACCCCATCCAATCACACCCAAAACTCCCATTTCTCCCCAATTTTGACCCAATTTTGCCCCAATTTCCCCCCGATTTCCCCCCAGTTTCCCCCCCTAGACGGCCAGCAGCGCGGTGACGGGGCAGTGGTCGCTCCTGAGCAAATTCAAGCCAATTTTGGTCCAAATTCAGCCAATTTTGGGCCAAAACCCATCCAATTAAAAGCAGACAACACCATCAACCTCCAGCTTCCATTCTGATCAAATTTAAGCCAATTTTGAGCAAATTTAACCCAATTTTGGGCAAATTTCATCCAATTTCACACCAAAACCCATCCAATTAAAATCGATTAATACCATCAAACTCCAGCTTCGATTCTGATCAAATTCAAGCCAATTTTGGGCCAATTTAAGCCAATTTTGGGCCAAAACCCATCCAACTAAAAGCACACACCTTATCAACCTCCAGCTTCCATTCTGATCAAATTCAAGCCAATTTTGAGTGAATTTCAGTCAATTTTGGGCCAAAGCCCATCCAATTAAAAGCGGTTAACACCATCAACCTCTAACTTTGATTCTGAGCGAATTTAAGCCAATTTTGAGCAAATTAAACCCAATTTTGGGCCAAAACCCATCCAACTAAAAGCACACACCATTATCAACCTCCAGCTTTGATTCTGCTCAAATTCAAGCCAATTCTGATCAAATTCAAGCCAATTTTGAGCGAATTTCATCCACTTTCACCCCAAAACCCATCCAATCAATACCCAAAACTCCCCTTTCTCCCCAATTTTGATACAATTTCCCCCCAGTTTCCCCCCCTAGACGGCCAGCAGCGCGGTGACGGGGCAGTGGTCGCTCCTGAGCAAATTCAAGCCAATTTTGGTCCAAATTCAGCCAATTTTGTTAAGCCAATTTTGGGCCAAAACCCATCCAACTAAAAGCACACACCTTATCAACCTCCAGCTTTGATTCTGATCAAATTCAAGCCAATTCTGATCAAATTTCAGCCAATTTTGAACGAATTTCAGCCAATTTCACACCAAAACCCATCCAATTAAAAGCGGTTAACACCATCAACCTCCAGCTTTGATTCTGATCAAATTTAAGCCAATTTTGAGGGAATTTCAGTCAATTTTGGGTCAAAACCCATCCAATTAAAATCGGTTAACACCATCAACCTCCAGCTTTGATTCTGATCAAATTCAAGCCAATTCTGATCAAATTTAAGCCAATTTTGAACCAATTTCAGCCAATTTGAGACCAAAACCCATCCAATTAAAAGCGGTTAACACCATCAACCTCCAGCTTCCATTCTGAGCGAATTCAAGCCAATTTTGAGCAAATTCAAGCCAATTTTGAGTGAATTTTAGTCAATTTTGGGCCAAATTGAGCCAATTTTGGGCCAAAACCCATCCAACTAAAAGCACACACCTTATCAACCTCCAGCTTTGATTCTGGTCAAATTCAAGCCAATTCTGAGGGAATTTAAGCCAATTTTGAGCGAATTTCAGCCAATTTCACACCAAAAACCCATCCAATTAAAAGCAGACAACACCATCAACCTCCAGCTTTGATTGTGATTAAATTTAAGCCAATTGTGAGCAAATTCAAGCCAATTTTGGTCCAAATTCACCCGATTTTGGGCCAAAACCCATCCAATTACAAGCGGTTAACACCATCAACCTCCAGCTTTGATTCTGATCAAATTTAAGCCAATTTTGAGCAAATTTGAGTCAATTTGAGACCAAACCCCATCCAATTAAAAGTGATTAACACCATCAACCTCCAGCTTCGATTCTGAGCGAATTTAAGCCAATTTTGAGTGAATTTCAGTCAATTTTGGGTCAAAACCAATCCAATTAAAATCGGTTAACACCATCAACCTCCAACTTTCAATCTGATCAAATTCAAGCCAATTTTGAGGCCAATTTCAGCCAATTTCACCCCAAAACCCACCCAATCACACCCAAAAACTCCCCAAAACTCCAATTTTGACCCGATTTTCCCCCAATTTCCCCCCAGTTTCCCCCCCTAGACGGCCAGCAGCGCGGTGACGGGGCAGTGGTCGCTCCTGAGCAAATTCAAGCCAATTTTGGGCCAAATTGAGCCGATTTTGGGCAAAACCCATCCAATTAAAAGCGCTTAACACCGTCAACCTCCAGCTTTGATTCTGATCAAATTCAAGCCAATTTTGAGTGAATTTCAGTCAATTTTGGGCCAAAGCCCATCCAATTAAAAGCGGTTAACACCATCAACCTCTAACTTTGATTCTGAGCGAATTTAAGCCAATTTTGAGCAAATTAAACCCAATTTTGGGCCAAAACCCATCCAACTAAAAGCACACACCATTATCAACCTCCAGCTTTGATTCTGCTCAAATTCAAGCCAATTCTGATCAAATTCAAGCCAATTTTGAGCGAATTTCATCCACTTTCACCCCAAAACCCATCCAATCAATACCCAAAACTCCCCTTTCTCCCCAATTTTGACCCAATTTCCCCCCAGTTTCCCCCCCTAGACGGCCAGCAGCGCGGTGACGGGGCAGTGGTCGCTCCTGAGCAAATTCAAGCCAATTTTGGTCCAAATTGAGCCAATTTTGGGTCAAAAACCATCCAATTAAAAGCGGTTAACACCATCAACCTCCAGCTTCGATTCTGAGCACATTTAAGACAATTCTGAACGAATTTAAGCCAATTTTGAGTGAATTTCAGTCAATTTTGGGTCAAAACCCATCCAATTAAAATCGGTTAACACCATCAACTTCCCGCTTCAATTCTGATCAAATTCAAGCCAATTTTGAGCAAATTTAACCCAATTTTGGGTCAAAACCCATCCAATTAAAAGTGGTTAACACCATCAACCTCCAGCTTTGATTCTGATCAAATTCAAGCCAATTTTGAGCAAATTTCAGCCAATTTTGAACGAATTTCAGCCAATTTCACACCAAAACCCATCCAATTAAAATCGATTAATACCATCAAACTCCAGCTTCGATTCTGATCAAATTCAAGCCAATCCTGATCAAATTTCATCCAATTTCACCCCAAACCCCATCCAATCACACCCAAAACTCCCATTTTGACCGAATTTTGACCCAATTTCGCCCCAATTTCCCCCCGATTTCCCCCCAGTTTCCCCCTCTAGACGGCCAGCAGCGCGGTGACGGGGCAGTGGTCGCTCCTGAGCAAATTCAAGCCAATTTTGAGCGAATTTCAGCCAATTTCACCCCAAACCCCATCCAATCACACCCAAAAACTCCCTAAAACTCCCATTTCTCCCCAATTTTGACCCAATTTTGCCCCGATTTCCCCCCAATCCCAGCGCCTAGACGGCCAGCAGCGCGGTGACGGGGCAGTGGTCGCTCCTGAGCAAATTCAAGCCAATTTTGAGCAAATTTCAGCCAATTTCACCCCAAAACCCATCCAATCAATACCCAAAACTCCCCTTTCTCCCCAATTTTGACCCAATTTCCCCCCAGTTCCCCCCCTAGACGGCCAGCAGCGCGGTGACGGGGCAGTGGTCGCTCCCCGCCACGGCGCTGCGGATCTTGCAGTCGCACAGCGCGCCCAGCAGCCGCCGCGACAGCACGGCGTAGTCCAGCCGCCAGCCCACGTTGCGCGCCCGCGCCGCGCCCAGGTAGGTCCAGAAGGTGAAGGCGCCGCGCGCCTCGGGGTACAGGTGCCGGAAGGAATCCACGAAGCCGGCGGCCAGCAGCCGGGTGAATCCCTCCCGCTCCTCCGGCGTGAAGCCGGGGCTGGCGCGGTTGGCGCGCGGGTGGCACAGGTCGATCTCGGCGTGCGCCACGTTGAGGTCGCCGCAGAGCAGCACCGGCTTGCGGGCGTCCAGGCGGCGCAGGAAGGAGAGGAAGGCGGCGTCGAAGCGGCGCCGCGGCTCCAGCCGCGCCAGGCCCCGGCCCGAGTTGGGCACGTAGGCCGAGACCACGAAGAGGGAGGGGAACTCGGCCGTCAGCACGCGGCCGGCGGCGTCGTGCTCGGGGTCGCCTGTGGGAGAGGGGGCAGCTGGGGGGAACTGGGAGGGACTGGGAGGGACTGGGAG